CATGGTCAGGGGCTCTGCTATACGCACTTACCCAGTGCCTCTAATCCACAGAGTCCTCATAAAAATCAAGCAGCACAAGGTGAGAATAATCCTAATAGCTCCTGCCTAGCCTCGCCAGCACTGGTTCGGCACACTGCTGATCCTCTTGATAGCAGCTCTGCTACAGCTTCCACTCCAGCTGGACTTGCTGTCCCAAGACCACAGACACCTCCTGCGCCCGAACCTCGCACCTCTGCACCTGATGGCCTGGTTGCTGCATGGCTGAATGCAGAAGAACAGGCACGCTTGGCCTGCGTTCAACAGGTCCTCATGGGTAGCAGAAAGCCCTGGAAACAGTTCACATGTTGGGCTTCGGACCAGGGTTTCCGGCTCGACCAGGCCTCTCTCCAGTTGATCCTGCACTATCTTCTTCACCACAAGCTCTGGGGCCTGTCTTTCTCAACAATCAAGGTCCACTTGGCAGCTATTTCAGCCTTCCACCCTCCAGCACAAGGCAGTTCAATCTTTGCACATGACATGAGGGTTCGGTTTCTGAAAAGCCTGGAATGGTTTTACCCTCAAGTCCACGACCCTGTCCCACCTTGGGACCTGAACTTCATGCTGTCTAGGCTTACAGGTCCACCCTTCGAGCCGTTAGCTTCTTGTTCCATTCTGCTGCTCTCGTGGAAGGTCTCCTTTCTGGTGGTTATAACGTCAGCCGGCAGGGTCTCCGAAATTAGAGTTCTCACCTTGGAACCACTCTATACAGTGTTCTATAAGGATAAGGTTCAACTGTGACTGCACCCAGCCTTCTTGCCCAAGTTAGTTTCACAGTTTCATACAAACCAGGACATATATTTACCGGTTTTCTTCCCAAAACCTCATAAGTCAGACGAGGAGTGCAGACTACACTCTCTTGATGTTACGAGAGCGCTGGCTTTTTATATTGAAAGGACTAAACCATTCCGGAAGTCAACACAGCTCTTTGTTGCAGTGGCAGACAGAATGAAGTGCCTCCCTATGTCTACACAGAGGATTTCATCATGGATCACTGCCTGCATCAAGTTTTGCTATGAGCTGACAAAGGTACCCTCTACGGCGACTGTAACTGCTCATTCTGCTACAGTGCAAGCCTCTATAGCAGCCTTCTTGGCCCAGGTGCCGATTCGAGATATCTGCAGGGTCGCTACTTGGTCATCCATTCATATGTTCGTGTTGCATTATGCAACCACCCAGCAGGCCCATGATGATACCAGCTTTGGTAGAGCAGTGTTACACTCTCTCACACACAAGCCGCACAACTGTGATCTCCGAGCCCACTTCCAGGGATACTGCTTGTGAGTCACCTAGAATGGAATTGACATGAGCAAGCACTCAAAGAAGAAAAAATGGTTACCTGCCTTTAGTAACTGTTCTTCGAGATGTGTTGCTCATGTCCATTCCATTACCTGCCTTCCTACCCCTCTGTTGGAGTTACTGGCAAGAAGGAACTGAGAGGGCGTAGGAACGGCGGTGCCTCATATACCAGCACATGAGCACGGCACTCCAAAGGGCCCCAGAGCTGGCCCTACGGATACCACTAAGGCAAAAAATTCCGACAACTGGGCACGTGGGCACGCACACACCTAGAATGGAATGAACATGAGCAACACATCTCTAAGAACAACAGTTGCGAAAGGTAGATAACCATTTTTTACGTGGAAGTAGCAAATTGCACTTTTTAAATGCACTTTATAAACCTTTAAGCTGAGGAAGCAATAGAAGCATCAGCTGTAATTCAAGGAGCTATTGGAGTGGGAAATAATATGGGCACATCTTGTGGTCATTCAACAAAATTAGCCATTTTCCTTTCTATGCAGGTCAAAAACATGCCTCCACAGGTGTACAAAACAAGTCATCTGGCTATTTTAAATGTATATAAGAAAATATTAGACCTTTCTGATAATCTTTTAATAGCACGGGAGTTTGTTCAAAAATATGATTAATGACATGCTACTTTGGAAATGTCTAACTAGGTATCCGATGATTAATGTAATACATTGTATCATTTGCGGATTAGTGCAGTTTTTGGTTTGAATTCTTTCTGCATCAATATAATCTATTGAAATACCATCCTGAATGGCTAGCTACATTCAATTTGCATATTTTTTTTTTATAAACAAGCAACCCTACCTATACTATACTTGTAGGCCTGTGCAGTGCAAGGAAGGTCTAATATGCTTCACATGCAGAACACAAAAAACCCTTCCTGTAGACATATAAAATATTAAATTGTATATTTTTGGCATTTACTGCGACTGGTGTCTGTTGCCTTTATGAAACTGAGATGTATATAGTATTTTTTACATTCTAAGAATGAATCATTTAGTCAAGTCTGAGGCATATTCAGGGTCGCCGGGGGGGCAAGTGGGGCAATTTGCCCCAGGCCCTGCAGGGGCCCCCACGAGAATATAGTATTCTATAGTATTGCAATTTTTTTATGGAAGGGCCCCCCCGAAATTGCTTTGCCCCAGGCCCCCTGAATCCTCTGGGCGGCCCTGGGCATATTAAAGAACTAAGAAGATTTTATAATATATAACTGTTTTATTTTTCTTTGTGTAGTATAATCCAGTCTGGAAAACTGGCAGCAATTTTGCTACCATTCTTCCCCTCCATTTCTCCAACTTTGATTTTGTGGTTGTGCCTATCACATTGTCTTTTGGAGGCATGTCATTAGTCTCTTGGGAATATGAATATTTGGATCAGAACTTTGTAAGGAGTCATAGCCACAGACAACTCTGAGATACTTTGGTCACTGAGGCAGTAAAACAAGAACTCACTTCCTGTTCCTTCCATCCACCGTAACTTTGACCATTCTTTATTATGTTTTATTGTTTCTAGGTACTATACTTATACAGCCCCTCATCATCATAGTATCTAATTACCTTGTTTTATTTTATTAGTAGTTAGTTTTAATTAATATTATTGCAGTTGTGTGAGCCTAATGACACTTAGGTGAATCTCTGGTTCAATGCTATGGCCTGTCACCGTTTTTTATATGTCTGCTATATGCCTCAGTTAGCCTTTTGTTCAGGATTGTGGTATTTTTGGACCAACAGATCAGTATGTTTGATAAGAAATCAGATCATTTTTGTTGTTATGGGAAAAAATGTTGGTCTCTGACCAATCTATGTGCTGCCTAACATGTCTGGATGAGGGGTGCCTGCCCAGCTGATGCCTGATGTATCAAAATGTTATGCCTTCAATATGGAAAGATGAATTTTCACTTTTCTCATCTTTGAAGTGGCATTAAAGGCATCTAAGTCTGACTTCTAAGGTTCCTTTAGACAGTGAGTCTTTACCTTGTAGGTACTCAGTTTCCTAAGTGGAAATTAAAGGATGGAGCCAAAGTTTGTTCATATCTGAATATTATAAGAAACTGTAAAGATTGATTAACCCAGTGAGTTCAGGATCTTGGGTCTGCTCAAAAGAGAGGAAAGCAAAGAAGAAAAGAAAGAGACCAAGCTTCTTTTCTTCCTATTTCTACTCTTAGAATGACAAGAGTCGTGGATCTGGTGGGGTGGTTGGCTGGTGCCGAAAGTCTTCCTAGATTCAAATGATTTCAGCAATTATGATGTTTTGTGTCAAATACTTCAGATTCAAAGGTTACTGTAGTCCCGGAGCCAGGATCCATCCTTGACACAAAGTGAATGCAGTGAGTTGAGAAACTTGGATCATGTCTGTTCCCTGGAAAGAATCTGGCTATCTCTTTCTTCGTCTCCACTCCACCATAGTAGGCAGCCTTTGCCCGTTAAACCTTTTGAGTTTTCTCTGCCCAGGAAGTTGAACTCTGATACAAGCTGTTGATTCCTTGTTCTCTTGTGGTAGGCCTCACTGCATTCTGGGATGGTATTTGGTTTCACTGGAAATAATCTGATCTCAGACACAGATAAAGTGTGTGCTGAGATTGTGTATACTGTTGGATCTTGGGCTTCTGACATAAGAGAATTTCCAGTCCTTCTTGGCTCTTACCTTTCAAGACGTTATCCTCTCCCCCTCCCCCCTCCCCCCCCCCCAAAGTTTCCAGGAAAGAAGCTCCGCAGCTTCAGAAGATGTGCACATGCCAGGAAGAGATCAGTCGCAAATGAGCATAAATGTATCTTCTGACTTGGAGTTAATCATGACATACCTGAGAGTCAGATCTGCCTCAAGATGTTAACCAGAGTCATCAAGCTTGGAAATATCTCATAAACTTCCTAGAAGTACCCCTGAGACACTTCTGTAAACCCAATCTGCAGTTACCCCAGAGTTTCTGCTTTGTCAGGGTAGGGAGTACTAAACTCAACACAGAGATTCTTGGTGCCCCCCTGTGTTGAGGGATTTTGTGGAACTGGCGTCAACACTTGGTAGAGCAGTGTCCTTACCTACCCACCCCTGTCAGCACACCATGGAGGTTTGCAATGAATTACTTACAGGTGCCTGAGATGGACTTGTTCTTTTTTTAGAAGCCCATCACAGGGAGCCTGGGCCCTGACTTCCCTTAAAGGGGTCAACTACTGTGTTACAAAAGCATATTCTTGAGGATGAGTGCTGATGTGGAGGATATTAAGGTGAAGTATGCGTCTAGTGTAGAGGAACAGGAGCAATGACTGTGCTTTAGGTGACCTGACATTTCCCAATTTTTGAAAAAGCTAGCAACATCAATAATTCCTGTGCCAAAATCCTAAAAGACCAAGATTAAAATGTATAACAAAATTAAATGACTAGTCTAAGGTCTTGCACTAAGTTAATGGCAAAGGGAGGATTAGAACTTCAAATTCTTGGCTTCAAGTCCTATACTCTGTCCACTAGACCATCCATATAAAAAAATCTGCCTAAATACATCTCAACTGTGGTTTATCTGTTTGTACATTCTTTCATCTCCTAATATTACAAGTAGTGTTTTGTATAATTTATAGTATATCTAGTATAATAATTTGATTTCTTGTTATTGCAGAGTAATGCTCTCTACCCACTCTCTTACCGTACATTTCCTTTTCTAGCGGATGGCAAACGCTTGGCTTCTGTTGGCATAGATGACAATCATACTATTGTGCTCTGGGACTGGAAAAAAGGAGAGAAGCTTTCAGCAGTAAGGTAAAAGTTTAACTTCATTCTGAAATCTATACCAAAATTAGTTTCAAATGGCAATGGACAGAATGGATACAAAGTGAGAATACTACTGAGACATAAATGAGTAGTTTCCCTTGCATGTTGATTCCCCCAATCAATGGCTTTTAGCATAAACTTAAAACTTTGTTTAGGGAGAAAAGCTGTAGGTAAAGTAAAATCAACAACCATTGCTATGAAAGTTAAGTGACGAACTCGAGATGAGAAATAAGAGATTTGTTCTTACTGGAAGAAAAGAGATGTTTTATTAACATTTCTCTGATGTGTGAGTAACTGCCCAGTACCTTTTGAAACAGTTCCTTTAAAACTCACTACACACACCTCTATTTCTCATTTCTATAACTTATCATGCTAAAAAAAGTACATAGTCACAGACTGCATACAAGTCCCTTTCCAAGCTGAATCATTGGCTGCAAGTGACTCTTCCTCCTCCCTCCTTACCAGTCACAGCTGCACACATTTCCTCACCATTTTTGCGGCACATGCATGCACACTACTTGCCTTTCAAACACCACATGCACTCACATGTCTTTCTTTAATGTTCCTGTTCCATGCAGTTGGGTCTGGTGCTTCTCCTTTCTGCAGCTACTGGACCTTGAGGCTCCTGTATGCAGCTGGTGCTGACGCTGTTTTTCTGGGCCTCATCTACCTTCCATGTAGCACTTCACTCACCAGATGTACACTTTCAGCCCTTCTGCAGATGTTGGTATCTACTTTTCTTTTTCAAAACCTTCTCATGGTAGGTCTCCAGCAGTGGCTCCCTCAGCCCTTTCCTATGTTGGTACTCTCAGATGACAACTGCTTTCTCCAGGGACTCCCTTTTGTTGCAGGTCCTTACTCCTCCCTCCCCAACCCTCTGTTCTGAGGCTGTGCAAACTTGGCTGTGCAGCTGGTAGCTGCTGAACCAGGTCAACCTTGCCATCCTCAAATAGTTCAAGTTTTATCTTTAAGATAGTAGTTCAAGTAGTTGGTTCTTGCTAGCAGGTCTCCTGGCGAGCTGACTAGGAGGCTTCATATGCTTGTCTCTGACAAGCCTTAGCAGTTGCTAGTTCCTTATCTCTTAATGGCCACTTGTGGGGAGAGGAACATAGTCTTTCTGTCAAGCTAGATTGTTCAGGCATGAATATGCCTTCTTTGTCAATGGCTCTTAATAGTTACTGTCCTCACTTGCTCCTGAGGTCCCTTGATGAATCAGAAAAGAGTCTTCCCCTACAGTCATTTGACACAGTTCATTCAGGTTTGATTCAGTAATATTTATGATAACAATTCTCCCAAATCAGCAGATGCTGTCGGAATTTTTGGAAAGTTCCCCAATCTTCAGTGGTTCTCTATATATTTGTATACAAGGCATGTGACCCTTGTGCCAAAGATGACTTCAGTTCCAAGAATTATTGGACCCACCACAAGCTATGTTCTTCTTCAAGGAGTGTCCCTGTGAGTGCTCCACTTTAGGTGTCTTGACGCCCTGCACTTGTAATTGGAGAATTTTGGTAGCAGTGCCCGGTTGGGCTGCGCATGCGCTGTAGCCGTCTCACGCTGCTCCGAGCAGTTACACAGCAGCACGCAGCCAACTGTTCTCCTGTTCCTTCTCTACCATCTTTGGGTTAAGTCGGAGCAATCAGCAGCACCTTCTCTTACCTCATATAAGATTTATAGTAGATAGTTCATAGTGATAATGTTAGCTTAGTTGTAGTTAGCTTCCCTATCCCCTTACCTTACTCTAATTTCTTTAATTTTCACACAAAAAAGTCTCCCTTTACCTTCCCTTTCTACCCCTTTCTCTCTGGCAGGTTTACCCCTGTTTTTGTCTAAGAGACCGACTCTCTCGGGCATGCCCAGCTCACCTGGCTTTAAATGCTTCCTGACTTGCAGACTCTCCATACTGGTCTCTGATGGCCAGGCTCAGTGTGTCCACTTCCTCGGCGAGAGACACATTACTCAAAAGTGCCCACACCGCAGAAAGCTGACAGCCAGGACAAGAAAAGTCAGAGATCTCCAACTGAAGCTCCTCATGATGGAGAAATCCCTCAGGCCAGTCTCAAACCCCGAGTCCAGGCCACCCCCCGGCAACGGTTGCTCTACTTCAATAACAGCTGCCAAAGAGCCTATTCCTAGAAAGGCTACCAAAAAGCGGTCGCAGACATCCCTGCACGGAGAATCCCCTAAAAGAAAGCGATCTCCAACTGAAAAATCTGCCCTGGTATTGATGGCACCGAGAGTGCCAGACCGCAAGGCACCGGGAATGTCTGGCACAGAGAGTTCCTGAAGAGCTAAAGACCCTATGCAGGTGAGCTCTAAAGGAGGTTCACACACTAAACTGAAACATTCCAGCTCGGCACCCACGGAGCCGAAGAAGATCTTGGCACCGAGTGGTACAGTGGCGCCACTTGCTGTACCTATGCCACACAGCCCTAAATCCTTGGCACCGGTAGCTTCAACTCATGCTTCCAGGCGGTCCACCATGTCGTCTCCGGCACCGAGCCTCACGGTTCCACAGTAATTCATGAGGCATGCAGACCTGATAGTGGCCTCAATACCTGAATATTTACTCGCCACCGAGGGTACCTCATCCAGATTAGTACCAAGCCAGCTGACTCTCCTTGCAGATCAGCCCCCCCATCTCTAGTGATGAGGAAGAAGAGGATGATGCAGTAATATATATTGCTTGTCACTCCTCACCCAAGCCAGGACCATCTCATCACCAACTACCTGTGGATATACGAGGATGTGGTCACCTATGGACACCACCCCCCATACCATTCCCACCTAACTGGTCATACTGGGATCCATGGGCAATGTATAGGGCCCAAAACCACAGCTCCCCTAAATCCATAACAGCCAGGTCTCCTTCATCAACTGTTCTGGCACCCTTGGAAACACAAGAGGAAGACACTGAGGAACCTGAGGACATAGCTGAGCATGACACTTTTCTGCCTACTCACCTCTCTTTGTTGTCATCGGACGAAACCATAATGCCACCCCCCCCCCACCATGGGGGATGATTTCAAATCCTTTCAGGACTTCTTCAACAGGGTTGCTGAATCCCTAGACATTTCGTTGGCTCAGCTACCAGAAGCCCAACATAAGCTCTCATACATACTCCAGGCATACCCATCAGCAAAGATAGCTCTGCCAATTAATTATGCAATCATGGAGCCTGCAAAAATAATCTGGCAGATACCTTGTACAGCACCACCCTCATGTAAAAGATCCGACAAAAAATATTATGTGCCAGAAAAAGGGGCTGAGTTCCTATTTACACACCCCATGCCAAACTCCTTAGTAGTGGAGACAGTGAACCAAAGGGGAAAACACCACCAGTCCCGAACGACCCCATACGATAAGGATTGGAAAAGGCTGGACCTTTTTGGGTGGAAAGCTTATTCCTCAGCTACACTTCAGTTCCGCATAGCCAACTACGCAACCCTGCTGGCCAAATATACATGCAGTCTGTTCTCCAAAATGTCAACTTTTATTGAAAATGTACCCAATGACAAAATAGAACAGTATAAGGCAAACATTTCTGAGGGGTCTCTCATCGCCAGGATAGCCCTACAGGCCTCCTTTGACTCTGCAGACACGGCAGCACGTTCCATCGCAACATCTATGGTCATGCGCTGTGCATCTTGGCTCCACCTCTCCAAGTTCCGAAGGGAGGTCTGGGCAACCGTTAAAGACTTACCCTTCGAGGGTCAGAAACTTTGCAGACAAAACGGATGTCTCATTACATACCCTAAAAGACTCAAGGACGACCTTAAAAACCCTTGGCATTTACATATCTGCAAACAAAAAGAAACAGAGCAGGTTTTACAATCAGAGATTCTGGTCTACGCCATACTCTCAGCTCCAAAGACAGTATGACCAATGATGTAAACAAAGAACAGACGTTGGCAGAACCAAGATCAGCCTTCGATGTCTTAGTAATCCACCTCTAGACAATCATTTTGAAGGTGTGATCGAGGGCACGAAACCTCCACACTCTCTTACTCTGGAACCAGAAAAGGTCCCCCGCCCATTCGGAGACTCTGTCACCATACTACCCAGTCTGGAACAGCATCACAACAGACAAATGGGTTTTAGAGATTATCCAGAAGGGCTACTCCATCCACTTTATTTCTATCTCACCTACCCACCCCCCTTTCCTGTTCCTCTTCAGGGACCCCTCTCACAAGCACCTGTTACAACAGGAAATAAACCACCTTGTACAAATAGATGCCGTGGAACCTGTACCATCGCAATACAGGGGAAGAGGTTTTTAGTCACACTACTTTCTAACTCAGAAAAAGACCAGTGGGTGGAGACCCATCCTGGATTTACAAAAACTCAACAAATTCATGAGAATATATCAAAATGGTGACTCTAACCACAATAATTCCGGCATTAGAGAAGGGAGATTGGCTCTTGGCCCTTGACCTACAGGATGCTTATTTTCATATTAATAGCCGCCCGTCACACAGAAGATTCTTGAGATTCACCCAAGAGAAACAGCATTTCCAATGCAGAGTACTACCCTTCGGCCTATCCACTGCCCCAAGGGTTTTTCCCAAGGTTCTCGCTGTCGTTGCAATTCAATTCCGCAGACACGGAGTAATGATATTTCCATACTTGGACGATTGCCTCCTATGAGCACCAACACGTCAAGAAGCGATAAACACCACGCAGAGCACAATAACCCTTTTCACGAACCTAGGGTTGCAAATAAATACGCAAAAGTTTACACTGGTTCCTGTCCAAAAGTTGGAATTCACAGGCGCCTATCTTGACTGTCTAACAGCAACATTACCCCAACAACGCTTCCTCACTCTAGTCAATCTAATTTCAATGTTGAGGGACAGCCCACAAACATCTGCTAAAACATGTTTACAACTCTTGGGGCACATGTCAGCAACAACGTTTGTGGTCAAGCATGCCAGACTCCACATAAGATGCTTGCCAGGTCTGGCTTTGAACAGTGAATATACCGCCAG